GGGCCTCTTGGGCTCTCTTTTGAGCCTCTGGGGAACGTCCGAAGGCTCTCTGGGTCGCCTCTTGGAGCGTCTTGGGGGCCTGATGAGGCCATCTTGGGGGCGATCGGTCGCAGATGGGGCGAGCATTTTTCAGTGTCCCCCCCCTGGGGGCGACGATCCTCGTGAGTGGTGTCGAATTTTAGCCCTCCCAGGGATAGAAAAAGGACCCTCTGACCACCAGCGGAAGGCCCCCTCCAGGTCCAGGGGGAGGGGGTAGGGGGAGGGGTAAACCCCTCCCCGAAGGGGAAGAAGGGGGGTTGAGAACAGAGCGGACTCCCTAAACCACTCACGCCCAAAGGGCTGGTGGGATTCGGGTATGCCCCTCTACAGGAGGAGTATCCAAACCTAGTCGAAACTATTGTGGGGACTCTTGCACGTGCTCTCTTGATAAGTGTTTTTTTGTTCTGACTGTTTTCTTTTTCCTTCGCCTGCAAGAGGACATGCCCGACCCAGCGACCATTCTATGGAGCATGCTTTCGGCTGTAAGCGCGGAGCCGCCGCAGGCGCTTCGAGGGTCTCCAGGGGGCTTCCATTCCCGGCACCCGAGGCAGAGCCGTCCCGCGCCCCCTCCTCTTCCTACTCCTCCTCCTCCTCCTCCTCCTCCTCCCCCATCCTCCTCCATCCTCCCCCATCCTCCTCCTCCATCCTCCATCCTCCATCCTCCTCCTTCGCCTCCTCCTCCTCTCCTCCTTCCTTATCCTCCTCCTCCACCTGCTCCTCCTCTCCAACCTCCTCCTCCTCCTCCTCCTCCTCCTCCTCCTCCTCCTCCTCATCCTCCTCCTCAACCTCCTCCTTCCATCCTCCATCTCCATTCCTCATACTCCATCTCCGCCTCCTCCACCTCCTCCTCCTCCTCATCCTCTCCTCCCATCCTCCTCCTCCTCCACTCCTCCTCCTCCTCCTCCTCCTCCTCCTCCCTCCTCCCTCGCCCCCCCCCCCCCCCCCCCCAACGGCCGCCGCGCGGCGCCGGGAGGCGCCCGCCGCGGCCTCCAGCGTCGAAGGCCCTTCGCCGAAGCTACTCGAGGCGCCCCCCTTCGCGCTCGCCCCCGCCCCACCCCCCCATCGAGGGCGCTGCAATCCCTCCTCGAGCGGCCCTTTCCCTGCTCCTCCTCCTCCTTCTCCTCCTCCTCCTCCTCCTCCTCCCCCATCCTGCCTCCTCTGCGGGGTCGCTTCCCCCAGCTCCCCGCTCATCCTCCGCACCTGCCTCCATTTTCCTCCCCCTCGCCTCCTCGGCCTCCTCCTCCTCCTCCTCTCCCTCGTCCTCCTCCTCCTCCTCCGCCTCTTTTTTGTGTTCTTTTTTTTTTTCTCTCTCTCTCTCTCTCTGTCTCTGTCTGTCTGTCTGTCTCTCTCTCTCTCTAGATCTATACCTCTATGCGTGTATGCATATCCACATGTATATATATATATATGTACAGACAGATGGATCTTGACTATCACTTCGTGGTAGAGCTATCTCCCCCACACCTTTGTTCTGCTGTCGCCGTTTTCTCACAAGGCTCTCGGCATTGCAGGGAGGCTCTTCGCCAAACGTGCATGCACTCTGCCAGTGTGCAGCTGGCAGGCGTGTGCCTCGCATCCGATCAGAAGCCAGGGGAAGGCTGGCAAACCCGTGGCGGCTAAAACGGAGCTCCAGGATTTTTTTCTTCTGGGAAGCAGCCCGTTTATTATTTAGTGCGTTGACTTTTTTTTCGCTCTGGGAAGACCGTTCTAGCAGCCACGGATTTGCCAGCCCTCGCCCAGCTTCCGATCCGACGTCCGCAGCGGGTGGCGAGGTGCTCGAGGAGGGCGGGGCTCGACGGCGAGGAGGCGGAGCGAGATGAGCGAGAAGAGCACGCGCACGTGCATGAAGCCACGGTGGTTTTTCGAGAGTGCGCATTGCGAGAGTTCGCTCTTCGAGCAAGAACCTTGGCGCTCCTGTTGAGGCCTTGCGGCCGTGTGGCCTTGGCGCATTGCGAGAGTTCGCCCTTTTCGCGGCCTTGCGGCTCGTCTACGGACGCGGCCCGCAGCGATCTTTGGCTGCGTGACCAGCAGCGGACGATCTCATGCCGTTGCGAGTCGAAAAATAGCTGAGGCCAGCCGGGACTGTCCGGAGGAGGGCTGTCTGTGCACAGCCCGAAGCTCTGCCAGACGGGGGGAGGGCTCAGAGGCACCGCAGTGCGGCCAGGAGCTCTGGCGCAGCCTGCCGCGCCGTCCACTACGCTTCTCCGCGCGGCGCGCCAAGCAGGTCCGGGCCCGCAGGCGCCAACAACGCCCCGTTCCTTATATCAGCGCCCCGACTGTCTATAGTTGGGCGCGAACGTCCACTGTTGGCTCCCTAGTTCACCGACATCCTGGGCGCGGGGGTGGATATCACCTCGCTTGAGCCTGGGCACCCCACCTTTGAGCATGTGGGAGTGTGTTGGTCTCGACGATGCCGTGCTGCCACCTCTGCAGGATCAAGGGCAAGTGCCGTGGGACCGAGAAGGGCCAGTTCGCGAAAGGATTGAACATTCTGTCAGATGATGGCCAGTGGCACTGTTTGGGCAACGCGCCCTGGGCATCCTGGCGCAGTTGGCCGCAGGCACCGCAGGCCCTGGAAAGGATCCCCTTATCGACCTTGAGCGCGACGCGCTGGAGGTCGTGTCAGAAGCTGGACTCGGCGCCCCTCGTGCTGCTGATCTGAGGCAGAGGCTGGAGGCCGCGCGGGCTCGGGCTGCCGGCAGGATGCCAGACGGGGGCGAGGAGGCGAATAAGGCCGACTTGGCCGGGATCCTGAGAGCGGCCGCCAGGCAGCCGCAAGGAAGTGGCCACGGTGACCCATGGTGAGGATGTTTCGAAGGGGCTGCTGGAGGCCATGGTGGAGGCGCTCAGAGTCGATGGCGACGACGGCGTAGAGGACCGCGCGGACGACGCGCTCGACGACTCTGGAGTGGTGCGGTCGAAGTTGGTCAGCAAGAGGGTCCAATGCAAGAAGACGGTGGAAAACGAACCAGGGAATCTCACATATATCGCGTTTGATCAGATGGGCTAGTACCTGGCGACGCCTGGACACGCTGAGGATGTGGGGCGCGCGCCGCCTGTGGCCGTGCGTGACTTGACTTCCTGTCCATCGTCATGCCGAACCACCCGATGAAAACCATCGGTGCGGATATGTTCCAGCAGATGAGGACTCGTGGCCGCGGTTGACTGCTTCGCATTAGGTCGCACGTCGGCAGGGCTTGATGTTTGGATTCAGCGTTTTCAGGTGCGTCGAATGTGGTGCAAGGGTTGTCACTGGCAGGGCGCGCGTTGGCTTGATCTGATCCCCGCAGACAGCCAGATTCTTGCAATTGCCTTAGCGGAGGAGGAGGAGGAGGAGGAGGAGGAGGAGGAGGAGGAGGAGGAGGAGGAGGAGGAAGAGGAGGAAGAGGAGGAGGAGGAGGAGGAGGAGGAGGAGGAGGTGGAGAAACTGATGAGGCACGTGGAGCTGGGGGAGTTGAAGCTGGCGGGTACGACGGCGCGCGCCAAAGGCTGCCAGGGCCGGGGGCCAGGTCGGGGGCGGGAGGGTCCGGCGTCTCCTGCCCTTGCAGGCCCTGTTGCCCCGGAAGGGGCAGCCCCGCGTCGGACCGTGCATCTGGGAGATGGCGGGCAGACCGAGCCTTGCCGCGGGCTCGTGGGGGCCCCGCGACGGAGGGCGTCGGCATCTGTCGGGCGCTCGAGAGGGGCCACCCCCGCACGAACGACGAGTCGAATTCAAAGCGCCAGCAGAGGACCTTCGGCCTGCCGCAGAAGGCCCGGAGGTCCGAGGAGGGCGAGTGCAGGTCCGAGGCGCCGGCCCCGCCCAAGGGCAGCAGGGGCAGGGCTCGGGGGGGGGGGGGGGGGCAGGTGGGCCCCCGCAGTGTTCACCGAGGCGGCGTGCAGCAGCCTAGAGCACGTCGTCTGCCCGAGCCACAGTGCCGCTTGAGGTCGCTGTGGCAGCGCGTCGTACTTCCTGGAGGTCCCAGGCGCGACGTCATTACAATTGAGAATCTCACTTACTTGACCTCGTCCTGCACCTTGTCGAGGACTTGCGCTACTTGCTGAATGAGGTCGGCAACTTGTCCGGGGAGTTTCCTGGCATGCGATCGTCGCTTCGACCGCCTGGAGATCGAGCGCGCGACGTGCTCCCGGTGGCCGTTCCCTCGTTGCAGCGCGCCTCGAGGTGGGCGCGCGAGAGGGGGGAAATGTCATGGCGCCGAGAACGGGCACTTCGTCTGGCAGAGTTTGCTGCTGTCGAGGCCTGGACGTACCTACCGGTCATGTTTTTGACTTGCGAGTGCCATGGGGAGCTTGCTGCGGAGGCCTGGCGACGCCATGCAATGCTGGCTGGGCTCCAAGACGAGGCGATGTACCTCATCGTGGAGGGCGTGCAGCGCTTCGTGAGCTCCCACTTGCCTACTTGAGATGATGAGTAAGTCTGGTGTTAGAGATATCACTGGACCAGGGCCTTTCAGCTACTCCATTGCCCCAGGTTCGAGCCCTGCCGCTGAAGTTGGGCGAGTTGGAGCCGAGCCTGCCAGGCGCATCCTTGGCAGGGAAGGTGATGGCCGCCGCCTAGGTGTCAGAGGGCGCCCGACCCTGCCTTGAGGAACCTTGGTCATGCATATTTCCCCGCCAACTCGTATCTGAAGTTCGCCCGCGAGGGTCTGGATTTCCCTGCGCCGTCGCCTCTCTGGGCGAGCCTCATCCTCGAGTCAGGGCAGTTGCCCCACTTATCGAGCGACGACCACTTCCTTTGGGGGCAGCTCCCAGAGGCTCGGCGAGGATGCGCGGTCCTCGGCGAGGAGGCGCCGGGCCGTGTGGTGGGAGCCTCGGGGAAGGCCTGGGCGCCTGTCTGCTCCAGGGTCATGCTCGTGGGCTGGGCCCTGGCGGTCGCGCAGTTCCAGCGCCTGCATCGTAGGTTGGGCCCTGGGGATCTTCCTCTGGGTGCCGAGCTGCCGCCAGCAGAAGCGCGGGGTGAGGTCCGACCTTTCCCCTGCTGCAGCGAGCGGTGGTTTCGGTCCTCGTGCATCGACGACTTTGGCGCGCCCGAGGTCGCCCCGCAGGTGAGCGTCCCTTCGCGCGGAGGCCAGCCCAGCCTTTGCCAGACACGCCCGCGCGCGCTGCCAGCCACTGGGGGCCGTCGATGGACGTTTCTTGCTGCATCCTCAAAGATCCGAGGTTTTGTTTTTTCAATACTGGGACCCTGCAAACCCCGACCCGTTTCCCGGGGCTGGCTTTTACTCCCGAGTCGTTTCTTGACGGCCCCGAGGCCCGAGGTACGCTGGGCCCCCAGGGGCCGAAACGGGCGGAAAACCTTTGTCTTGTTTTTTCAATGTCGTCGTCGCTTTTCGTCGTCATCGCGTCTTTTTGTGTCGTCGTCGTCGTCGTCGTCGTCGTCGTCGTCGTCGTCGTCGGGAGCTGAACTTAACCCCACGACACCTGCAGAAATTCCGTGCCACCGAAGGAGACTATTTGACAGTATTTCATGCGCGTCTACACCGTTACAGAGCGAAGTACAACCTGGAACGTTGGCATGTTACTGCTTTAGGGCGTGTTTTCGATTGGGCTTGCCATGTTGGACGTTTCTCACACTTGGCCCCAGAGCTGCTCGCGTACAAGTCACTCGTGTTTCGCGGCGCGGCGTGCCTGCAGACGCTGGAGAGCATGCTGGGTCAGCAAGCGCATGGTCGCAAGTGTATGGTGTGGCGGTGGTGGGAACAGCAATTTACCAGAGAGTTTGGCCGGGATTGGATGCATCTCACGCTGGACAGCGACAATTGGGCTACATTACAATCTTCATGGATTGAGCGCCGGACAAATTGGCACAAGCAGTAGTTTTACCCCTGAGCCTTTTGGAGTCTCACTGCCAGGCCGTCCTAAGCTTACCACGGCAGCGTCAAATAGGTCAAATAGGTCGTCGTCGTGGTCGTCGTCGTCGTCCGCTGCGGCGGAGGCGGCGGCGTTGTTGTCGTCGTCGTCGTCGTCGTCGTCGTCGTCCTCGTCGTCGTCGTCGTCGTCGTCGTCGTCATCGCTTTTTTTTTGTCGTCGTCGTCGGCGGCGGTGGCGGCGTCGTTGGTGGCGGCGTCGTCGTCGTCGGCATTGTCGTTCGTCGGCGTCGGCGTCGGCAACGGCGTCGGCATCGGTCGTCGGCCGTCGGCGTCGGTCGTCAGTCGTCGTTCGTCGGCGTCGGCGTCGGCATCAGTCGTCGGTCGTCGCTCGTCGGCGTCGGTCGTCAGTCGTCAGTCGTCGGCGTCGGCGTCGGCGTCGGCGTCGGCTAGCCGCGAGGCGGAACCCTCGGCCCAGTCCGAGGCCAGCGCCTCCATGGCCAGCAGCTGGCGCTCCACGCGGGAGCCGCCGGCGCCCCAGCGACTCTGTGTCGGCGTCGTTGTTGTCGTCGTCGGCGTGGGCGTTGGCGTCGGCGTCGTCTTCAGCCTCGGCCTCGGCGTCGGCGTTGGCGTGGGCGTCTTCGTCGGCGTCGGCGTCTTGCTTCCATCCTCCTGCCACCTCCCTGGTCCCCCACGCTCCCCCTTCCGCATTGCTCCGCTTGCTCCCGTCTCCTCCTCCCTCCTCCCTCCCTCCTCGTGCCTCCCTCCTGGTGCTGCTCCTCCTTCCTGCCTTTTGTTTTCTCCTCCCTCTCCCTCGCCACCCTCCTTGGTCACTCCGCTCCTCCTCCTGCCTGCTCCTTGGCTTCCGTGCCCCCCTTCCGCCTCGTCCGAGTCCTCCTCACGACGACGACGACGACGACGATGGGCCGTTGGCTTCCACTCCGCGGCGGGCCGGGCTGCCGCAGACCCTCGAAGTCCTGGAACGGCTCGGCGCAGCGCAGCACAGCGCAGCACAGCGCAGCGCAGCCCCTGGCACGGTGCCGTCGTCGTCGTCGTCGCCGGCGAACGGGCGCTCGGTCGGTGATTCGGCCCCTCTCGCGCTCCTCCTTCAGCCCTCTGACGGTGTCCAACAAGCGAGGGCAGCTCCATATCCTTGTCCGGGTTCGCGGACAGATCGTCGTGCTCCTTCCCTAGCCCTGTTCTTGGCAGCCCCTGGGCGCGGAGTGGGCGTCAAGTGGCCGACAGTTGCACATTTACTCTCTGATCGTTGATCTCCAACCCTCGACGACGGCGTTGACGACGGCGACGACGACGGCGACATTCATGACGACGACGACGACGTTCACGTCAACGACGACGACGTTCACAAAGTTCACGACGACGGCGACGGCGACACCATTGGTGACGACACTACCGACCCCGACGACGACGACGACGACGACGAGGACGACGACGGTCACGACGACGACGACGACCACGACGTATTGACGAGGACGACGACGACATTGCCGACGACGACGATGACGACGTTCACGATGACGACGACGACTTTCACGACGTTCGCCAAGAGGGTGACGACGACGACGACGACGACGGTGGCGACAGCTTTGATGACGAAACTGACGACGACGATGACGACGATCACGGTGACGACGGTCACGGCGACAACGACATTGACCACGATGGCCACGACGATGACGACGACGACGGCAACGACGCCGACGCCGACGCCAATGCCGACGCCGAAACCGACTCCGAGGCCGAGGCCGCCGACGACGAGGACGAGGACGAGGACGAGGACGACGACGGCGACGACGACGACGACGACGACGACGGCCGCCACCACGACGCCGACGACGACGACGCCGACGACGATACGGACAAGGATGAGAACGAGGACGAGAACGACGCCGCCGCCGCCCACGACGAGGACGAGGACGACGACGACTGCCACGACGACGCCGACGACGACGACGACGAGGACGAGGACGACGACGACGACGAAGAACGGCTCCCACGACGATGACGGTTACGACGACGACATTGATGACGGTTGGGACGACAACGACACTAGAGACGTCTGCGGTAACGACGACGACTATGATGGTTACGACGACGATGATGGCCGACGCCGACGTCGACGCCGACGCCA